CAGTACGGCATTAGCAACAGAATACTATATGTGTATTTGAACATTCTATTTCATGTTGTTTAATGTAAACCAAAATCACACGCTCAGTGATTGGTTAACGAATATAAACTGTAGATATATAAACAGCGGTTTGATTAATGGGAAAAAATATCTTGGCTTCCGTGTCTTGCCTTCTCTTGTTACAACAGGAGCAACATAAGGTTGCCTAATATCCTTGGTAACCATCCTGATCGAGGAAGATTGGATCATGCGGTAGACTGTGAGGAGTGAGAAGAAAGGTGTACATACATTGGGTTGATAAAAAGACCTTAATAGATCTGAATTTCGTAGATGATCTATGCCTCATGCTGAAGATTTACAACTGAAAATCAACAAAATGAGAGAAGTGGGAGAGAAAACGGGAATTCAAGTGAACATAAAGAAAACGGTAGTGATGAAGATAACCAAGCACGAGGAAATGTGAACGAGGTCATTTCTTCCAATTATTTTGGGGAGCATCGTTTCAACTACAGGTTACACGGATGGGATGTCAACGATGGGATCAGAAAAGCGAGACAGACCTTCATTATTCTGAAATCTGTTTGGAAAATTGATGCGCAGTCAGCATAAAGAAAAAAATAGGATTTTCAACACTAATATCAAGTCAGTCAGTGTGCTTCTCTATGGGTCAGACAGTTGGCTCGTCGCCCAAACCATTTCCAACAAGCTACTATATGTATATATCCGTTTGATCAGCTGGAAATATGCGTTTGTTTCCGTGTCTTACCTTCTACTGTCACAAACATACAATTAGTTTGAAAAGGACTTAGAGGAGGGAAGTTAGAATATCATAGCCATAGTCAAGGTGTTCCAAAAGTTGACCTCCAAAAACCGACAATATACAAGGAATGCTATGAAATAATATTCTAAATCAAACCATGTCTGTCTTTTTGAACTTAGAGAGGGTAGATAAAGTGTTCTACTTACTTATTAGGTACTTTTTCTGCAAATCTATACTGTTAGGTAGGGTTATGGCTTTTTAGATTAAGGTTTAGGTTATAAGGTTAAGGTAAGGTTATAGTGTAAAAGTTAGGGTTAGGAGTTAGGATTATTGGTAGAGTTAGGAATAGGTTGAAGAATACTGTCAAAAATATCAATGGATCTTAAAGTACCATGACGTACAGTCACAGGGATGAATGGATATATCGCGCATGGTATGGTTTCTCTATAGATCATCTGTATAGTGACTGGGAGACCTTCTCACAACACATAAGCTACAAGTCTACAGTGTAAAATCATGTTTGCAATAGTTTTTAGTGTTTTTTCAACGATTATCCTACCTTTAAGCATTTGAATTCTGATTGGTTGTTCTTGGTCACTGTGGTTTTGTCTAAGATAATTTAACTTTGCCCTTAGAGGCGGTCAAATCAAAACAAGTTATCAATCCATGAAGTACTTAACTATTGGTTTGAGCCATGTAGAAAGGTTTGGACTGTCTAACCGAGGTCATCTAAACCCTAAGAAATAATTAATATAGATTGTTAATTAAATGGCTCAAATGTATTCTCACTAATTCATATGTATTCACTCTGTTTGATCATCATTTATCCTAAAATTCTCATTATTCAACATGTACTTGTTCTTTCACCCCGAAAATTTCTGTTGATAATGGTTTCGTTGCAGTGATGTATATTTTTGTGAAGTATGACAATTTGAACTAGTGCAGTGACTTTTAACCATATAAAACACACACATAAAAGTAGGGTAAGAACAGGAATTTAGTTAGTGGGTAGTAAGTAGCAGTGGAATCCGAGATGCGCATGTCGTCCTATTTGGAACTCGTCAGCTGGGTGTACCTGCATTCCCTAGCCTCGGTGGGAACATCGTCACTCACTGGGGAATGCAGAGACACCCAACTGACGGGCCTAAAATAGGACTAAATGTCTATCCTGGATTCCACTGCTAGTCACCATCCACCAATTAAATTCTCATTACATGCCCAGACATCGTCGAAGCATCTGCACAAGAAGCCAACAGACATGTCAACCTGAGACCGAGCACTTCGGTCCAATCAGTCGACGGGAAAATCTAAAATTCATTTAGAAAAACAGGAATGCAAAGAAACTATAATACTGAGCTATGTTGCTGTTGGTCTTAAGTCATTGATTCTTAGTACCAACATGATATCAGTCAAACAATCTCCAACTGTCTATTTAGCTGACTGAAACCAACATTAAAAAAAGCTTCATGAATTGTAGGTATATTTTCATTTGACCAGATTTCACTCTATACCAACCTAATTTCATATGAGTTAAAATTGCCTATGATTTGAAGTTTCTATAATGATTGTGAACATTATTTCAACTAAAGGGTGGTGTAAATGATGATGTCGAAGCCAGACAGGATCAGTGAGGCGAAACAGACTTTTATTGCCATGAAATCAGTGTGAAAGTCTATTGCGCTCAGTGTATGAGATACGATCCCAGTTTTCCACATTACTGTTAAGTTAGTGATCTTATATAGTTCACAGAAAATCATTCCTAATAGGCTTCTGACGATTTTCATCAATAGCTGGATTCATTCCATATTGAAGATCAGGAGGGGAGCTAGAAACTTTAGGAGACAAGGAACACTGACAGTACAGAAAACCAAACAAAAGCCTTTCACCCAACAGATATATAAAAAGAAATGGAGAAGGAGGAGACCGCTGATCAAGAATTCCCCCGTGAGTTAAACTCCAATAGGAGACAGTAAGTTTGGCGTATATCCAAGGATGACATGAAGGAGGTTATGTGGAGAAAAATTAAAGAGTTGTAGACAGTCTTAGAGCAAGCTGAAAAGAAGAGCTGGGAACACAGTGAAGTGGAAATGTCCTGATGAAGTCCTGTGTTCCATTTAAAACCCAAGGGACGAATAATAATAATTAGATAATAATAGTATAGGATGCTGGAAATCATTCATATCCAGTGCCTAGAACGCTTCTATCTGGTTAAGTGGAATCAGTTTTCAGCTTGGAATTTTTCTAAGAAGTTTGACAGTTCAAATTATCACATTTTATAAAAGCATATTTAAAGGTGGTAAAAAGAACAAAGAATGAGAAAATATACCAAATGGGAATATTTTGGCGAAGGAATTTCCATTTTTTAGCATCTGAAGTAGAACATTGGGTTTCAAGCTCAAACTTTGAAGTTTGAGTAGCATAGGCTTTGTTTGGTTTTTATGGAATGAAGTTACTATCTTTGGACTCAACCTGCCCCATTTACTGGATCTATTAATGACTAGGCGAAGTTTTTCAGTGTTTTTGTTGGGTGGGAATCGACACTCGGACGGTGTACGTACCTGGCAGGCCCTTCTAACCCTGAACCAGCAACTGTTATCTGTTTCATTAACATACAGATACTCATCCAATGACTAACTTGAATAATCTTGCTTCTTATTAACACTCTGCTTCTCACTCGAAGTCTCGTTATTGAGATTAAGGATCGTGGAAGTGAACTACTGGGGAGTCCTAAACTAAGACGAAACACCTGTCAAGTACTCCTTAATGATTTTCAATGTTTCTTTAATTGATGTTTCCAGTTTGGACGGTTGTTTATGCTTTATTCGCATGATAACTAATTACTGGTGTTAGGTGGTTTGGAGGCAAATTAACAAAGAACTTTGTGATTTGGATTTCGTGCTTAGTAACATTCATTAGTGAGGGATGTTGATAACCTCAGAGGGATAGATATCTCCTATGACATTCGAACAAGCGTCACCAAGTGTTACAGTCAAAGATGTTATCACTGAGTTACGCATACTCACAAATCACTTCCTTTAGGGTTGGGCGTAACGGATACAATGACATATCCTTGCAAATTTGACTGATAGAATTTAGTCAAGT